CATACAAAACATTTCCATAAACTTTTTTAATATTCTTTGTGGCTACAGAGGTGTTGTTTCCCTTCTTGTATTCAAACAGCATTACATGCTCATGGTCACTCACAACCTAAATTAATACTAATGTGTATACATACATCATATATAGGCTACATTATTATTTGTAAATGTCAACACTACACACACACATTTGTAAAAATTACTTGCTTTATATTGTACTGTATGTAATCACATCTTTTGAGAATTTCAACAGTGTATGTGCTTCTAATCTACAAAAGCTTATCCACTGTCAGCAAGTTTAATCATTTACTTGGCAAATTTGAATATAAGAAGTTATCACAAGAAATCTTCCTAACAAAACTTGTTACAAGCTGAAAGCATCAGTTGGTAATGTGGTACAGGACAGTACCATGTGTTTCTACTCCCATATTTCTTATGTAAAATTTTCAAATTTCTGCATTTTCTTTAAGTTTGGATATGGAAATTTGTTCAAGTTAACACATCTTCATTTTGGTTATTACTAGCTCTGTCTAGGATCTCATCCACTAAAAGATAATTAACAAAGTTTTTTGAAAGAAAGACAGTAGGTGATGTCCAAAAGTGAAAAAGCTGTCTTTCCTGTCAGCTAACTGGGTAATGGCCTGGGGTTTCCTCAGTTCCAGAACTCTAGCATGAGTAGATGGAAGTCACCTGCAGAAAAAGTCTAGTGTGTAAACCTGGATTAAGTTGTTATTGTATTCTGTAGTATTAATGGTCAGGCTCTACCCTGTTAGACAAATCCAGCCAGTTTTTTCTTTAGTAAAAACTTTTAGTAGATTTAGATTTGGGTAAGACTTTTGACTTTTTATTACAGCTTTTTGTAATATTTAATGTTCATTTTGTTTGCTAAGATCTTAGAATTTTATGTTTTTAAAGTTTGTTTCAACTAAGGGTTTATTTTCATTTTGTATTTCACTCAATTGTAGTTTACCTTATAGGAAGAAATACATTGAATTAGTGAGATTAATAGGTCACCAGGTTTTCATTTCCTTTCTCTCTCACCATTCCGCAACAGCCACAACAGACACACTTGCCTTAGCTTTACTGTTTTATTTGTGACTGAATTTTTGTTGTTATTTGTTAATAAAGATTATTTTTGTGCACGTTCTCTGATTTGAATCTTTCAACTTGATGAACTTGGAGAGATAAACAGACCAAACACTCCATAACTTGGTATCCTTTGAACATCCAGTTAGAAGGTCCTAACTGGTTACTTAGATAAAAATCAGCAAGCCAGAAAATGCTACAATAATTATAGCATAAAGAGTTTTCAGCTTTGCTCATATACATTAACCAAATAATTTTTCTTAGTTTAATACTCTGAGGCAGCTGAGGATTTTGAAAACCCAGGAGCCTGACATTAGTTGTTGTTAATATGTTGATTCAGTTAGTTCTAGTTATTTGGTATATTCGACCTCAACAACATCTCATGTGACTAAACGACCAGGTCAGGGACCTCAAGATTCAGTTACAGTCCAGAGGAAGGACAACCACAGAGCAGCACTTACCACCTGTTCTTAACCAATTAGCAGGATTAACAGCCACAATTATAATGTTCCCACAGCTAAAAGTGTAGTGTGTTCAGTGGCATACTAACCACTAGGCCTTGTCTAGCCCATTCTACTTATTACAATTTTTATTATGAAAGTACATTTTCTAATATGGTAAAACAAATCCTATGCATACCACCTAAATTTTAAGATTTAATTACTAGAAAACCATTACATAAAAAATGGCAAATGGACTCTTGTAGGGTGTTTAAATAACTGGAATAAGCCACTGTTTGTTATTCAAATTTTAACTTAGTTAAAACAGGAAATTACTATTTATGATGTATATTTCATTTTTATTATTGTTTACATATCCAGAGGGCCTATCTCAAAATGTGTAAAAACACAAAATTTATTAAGACATTTCAACCAACTGCAAATAGCTTCTACTAACCTTCTATACTTTTTCCTGGCCCTGTGATGTGCTTCAAGTCCTTCTGATAGAGTCTTCAATTTTTCAGGCTCTACTTGAGTGAATGTGTGATCTCCAAACCACTTTACCCAGACCTGATCAGATTAAATAATACGACAGGTTAACTTAGAATACAGCATTTATATTAACAGGTATAAATCTCTCTTCTACAGCAATATTTTATATAAATATGCATGTAAAAATTGAGAGCCTGTCATAATTTGAGAGTAGAAAATCAGTTTCTTGTTAACAAAAATAAATAAGAATACAGTAAGTTTCTTTATAAAATAAAGACAATTACAGCTATTTTCATGATGAATAAGCATTGCAGTGTCTAATAACTCAAGAGCAATTTTCCTAATCTCATGTCTTTGAAAGTTTGTTTGTTTGTCTTTTGAATTTCATGCAACACGTCTCTGACAGAAATAACACTAACTTTTCATTCAGTACCACCATCAATATCCTTTGATATTCGAGAAATGTATGTAATGCTATTTGGTAAAAAATCAAATACTATTTCTTTTTTAGAATGTTAATATAGTGAGTGATACAGAAAATCTCAGAGTTAGCTGGTAATAGTACCTACCAATTCTTGGAGGTTTTTTTTTTACAAAGATGCTTTGAAAATCTGTTTGCATTAAATACCAAAAAACTACAATCGAAAAAATTACTTTTGACATAAGTCATAGAAAACATTCTTTTATAGACTGTTAGGCAGAGTATTCATGATGAGTATATTAGAATGGATGGCAATTTATCTTGTTGTCTAAAAACACAAGTGTAGAGGAGAAGATTTTGAAAGTCTTCCATCCTTCATCTTCAAGTCAGTATTCTTAAGGTGTTGCAGGTGTTTTATAGTGTACTGGTGGATTGTGGAGGACATGTTGTGATTGGTTGTTTATCTGTGGTTATGATTGGTGGATTGAACATAAAAGAGCTTACACGTAATGACCTGGAAAACAAAAGGCGAAATACTTTCAAAATGTTGTCCGCTACACTCGTGTTTTTTTATATACAACAGGCAGTTGCCATCCATTCCAGTGTACTCATCAACAAATCACACCTTACAAATTTCCCAATATTCAATGGTGAAGATAATACAGTGAGTGATTACCACTAGTTATATATATCCAACAACTAGTGATATGTGTATCGCACAAAATATTTAAGACTGAATAACTATTCAACACCTTTTTAAAATCTTGTAATACATTATACTATCAAGGTGTAACTTCCAAAGAAACAACTAGTTCTCACTTTCTCATGAGGTAATGTCATAAACAGCATCTGTCTCATAACGTGTTACACAATAGTGTAATAATTTAAAATACATACTTTACTTTACATAAACAAGTCCACTTCCCAACTAACACTTGATAATTTTATACTTTCAACTCCAAAGTATATTTCAGATGATGGACTTTTATATAATAACAAATAACCTGGTAATAGCATCAGGCAATACAACCTAAACTAAAAATAATAATAAAACCCATGTACTGCCAATTTTCCTCAAAAGTTGGTAAGCAAGCCAGTTTCTAGAGACTTACTTCTTACGGCATAGCATCCCATTATAAAGCAATGGGTAATCCATGAACTGAAAAAGAGCTCTAACTGCTTAAGCATGCAGATTTTCAACTAGCACCAAACAAGCATCCTAAGATATGGATTATAGAAAAAAAATCTGATCCATGAAAGTAACAAGCAAACACCCTTACTTTAAGGTTTCTTACTAAGAAGGATCAAACTGCTCACCTGACAATACAGAATATCCAAAACTTGCTCTCAGAAAGTAATAAAAAAAAAACAATTATAAAAAAGTAATCAAATTTGAAAGAGGAAGAGAATGAAGCAATTTCAAAGTCAAAAAAAGTGACAATGCCAAGAAGAATGGGAATTCTCTGGCACAAAGAGAAGGGAGAACCAGTTTCTTAAAAAGGCAAACAAGAGATGAATGGAAAAATATATATATACAAATTTTAGACCAATTTCAAACCAGAAACATGCTTAAACAGGAAACTGAACACCACAAATCCTAATGTTACAAAACATTATCCTCACTATGCTTGTTAACTTTGTACAAGAACAAAAAACTGAACAGCCAACATAATGACCCAACAGAACAAAAAACAGCCTGTACCTTTAATAAAAGTGACAAAACAAAGTTAAGTACAAATTGTGTTTAAGAAACATCTATACCACCATTAATGATATTTTGCATGTTTAAGCCCTTCCAATTTGATTGACCTTTGATTCATGAACTTCAAAAGTTAATCAGGTCTAGAACTTTGTATGTAGTACCTTGTTGTGTAAGTTTGGTTACTATTCATTCATCCTGTATGGAAATATCATGTCCACAAGGTTGGGAATATTTTCTACGTACTAGTTACCTTTTGACATCAACTTTTGACACATAACCTTCAAAAATTAATCTATCAAATCTGTCTACAAGGTAGAGAGAAGGATGAACAGATAGATGGTCAGGGTCAAACAAATATGCTCCACTCTTTCATGGAGGAGTTATGGCATAATAAAAAACTAAGATAATAAGATTAAAAAAGAAACAAACTTTTATTAACTCAAATATACCAGGAAAGTTTAAGGATTACAAAATCTACAGTCGGAAGCAAACCTAATGCCATTTCTTTCTTTTGAACCAAGATTTCAATGAGGTAGGTTATATCTTTAGTCTGCTCGAAATTTCATATATTTTTTAGACCCAAATACAGCTTAGTTATTAAGTTTGATAAATTATAGTAGAATTCTATTGTATTAATGTAGTAATTTTTTAGTAATTCAAAAGTATGTAAAAAACCTTAAAAAAATATTTTGTTTCATATCCTCCACATGCAAAACTTTTAAAGGCTTAGCAACCTACATCAAGAAGCAACGAGTACAATGATCATAACTAGAAGAGATAATTGTTTGCTTTACTTTTTTATTTACTGTTCTATGTTTAAGGAAAAATAACTAAGAATTTATTTCAAAATAGCAATAATCAATATACATATATAATGTATGATAATTGAAATGTGAATGTATTTTACAAAATACTAGTCAACAAAAACACAGCCAAGAAAAGTTACTTTGTACAGACCAAAGATTACCTCTATGTTATTTGATACGGTAACATTAGTACAAGAGAGCCGCGGCGTTGTAACTTCTATATTGTTAGCTAGGCACGGGTGAAAGGTCAACATAATAAATTTATATAAATGTATAATGTTATGAGATTTAAGTTATTTCGTCTAAACATTTATGTTTTTGTGTTATAATTTGTGTTCATTCTAAAATGAAAGAGGCATAATTTATGTTTATTTCCTAATTTTTTATGGTAGTTGCGAGATCGGTCAATCTACCAAACCCGTACAGAGATTAATTACTGAAAATAACAGATAAAATATAGTTTTTTCTTAAGAAATGTTTGATAACTATCTAGACATTATAAAGATCTTGCATGTGAAATTTCAAAATTTTCTGATGCATAAAAAGTATTTTTAATGTTAAAATGAAAATTACTCTACATGATAAATAGGCATGATGTGAAAAGAAAAAAGAGAAACATTGTTTTACTAACCTTATGACTTAATAAAAAATTAGATATTTTGCATATGAAAGCATTGTAATATTTACTGATAAACTGCCAAATTTTGTTAACATTCACTTACTAAATGACTTTGCAATGCATCTTTTAACAGACTTTCTAAAATTTTTCTCATAACTGATGTACGACTAATGGGTCTATAGTTACTGGGACAATTTTTATCACCTCCCTTGAAAAGAGGAGTTACATTACCTAACTTCCAATCCTCTGGTACCTGCCCACTATTCAAGGATTGACAAAAAATAGTAGCAAGTGGCTCACATATCACTTTGTGAGCCAACCTGGTTTTTTTTACTTGTAGCTATCCTTTTCTTTCTATTAGGAATATGTTTACATTGAATATTTAAAAATTTATCTTCAAAGATTTTCCACCTCTGATCAATGTCTCCAAATAACTCAGTTGCCCAATTTACAACAGATAACTCTTGTGGCA